GAGGCTGCGGCTTATGGTTCGTCAGATACGCCCAATCGAACATGTGCGAATTTGAGCGCGCATCACCCAGATCCAGGTGATGACGTCACAGCGTGCAGTCAGGTAGCCACACCATCTAGTTGTGTACAAAAATGGCCATATTCGGAGCGCGTTCGATTGGGGAACCGTTTGTCGCAGCTTCTTCGGACCAAGACCATTCGATTCAGTGTTACAAACACTACGTACCCTGTAATTTTCAGCTCGGTAAACCTGGAGGTTATACCGTATTATAGCCGTTTCCGAGTTGGACTTTTCCGTCAGCCTCTAGCTCTACGCGCTCTGCGCTGCGTGCATGCAGTGCGTGCAGTGTGTTATCTAGCTGTAGTCTGTCCCCGGGGAAAATTGCGGAAAAAAATCGCAAAAAACGCGGGGAAAAACGCGGCATAATATGGCATAATTTGCGGTGAATTTGCGGTAAATATGCGGTAAATATGCGCTGAATACTATTGATGTGCGGCAATTTTCAGTGAGTATGTAGTGAAATCAATCAGTTACAAGTCTCTGGTGTAAGCACTCGTCATATTTGAGTAAAAAGCCGCCACGATGAGACGTTGCTGACCGGACATGTGCACTGTGTGTACGTGTAGTGCAACAAAAAAGTTCAAAAAACGCGGGAATATCGCGGAAAACGCGGTCTTTTAAACAATCGCAAAAAACGCGGAAAAAAACGCGGCCGCGGAATTGCAATTTTCCCCGGGGACAGTGTAGTGCAGTCAACAAACTCATCACATGCACAGAGGAACTACTCCCGCACTGCCGTGCTGGGGTAGTATGTACAAGACTCGAGTCACAACTGACACAAGACTCAGAAAACTAGTCAACACACGGACTTGTCATGTACTACACTCGTATCAGTCGTATTGTACAGTCATGTAGTCAGAGAACGTGCGTTTCTCCTTGCCGGTGGTTGTGCTTTGAGAAAGAAAATTTTAGTTTTCCGCACCCGCCTCATTATTTTTATGTTACAGCGATGAGTGCACAACCGGTTAACCGTGACAAGTGACAAAACAGCGAACAGCTCCCGGACCTAGAACTTTCAGATTCCATAGCGTTGCGAGCGAAGAGTCGTGCCCGTGGTTCAAAGAGCCTGCACTGTTCTCCAATTGAGTAGTCCGAAATATTCCAAGTTCGCACCAAAACATCACCATGTGGCAGGCTCCTGGAGTCTAAGCGAATCTAATCGGTATGGAACAACATTTAGAGCACTCGCATCACTCTTCTCCATTTTGGCGACCCTGCTCTCCAGCGATCTGATCAGCCTCGTCTGCAATAGCTGCTGCTTCTTCATCAGTCGGAAACTCAGTAGCGCTCACTCTTGACCGGCCCGCGTGGCCATTTCTTCAGCTGAATACCGAGGTTCTCAGCCCCAGACCGAACTCATGAAGGTCAGCCATGGCTGCATCCTCACTCTCACAAGGAGTTACGGGTCTTCGGGGTCGCTTGCACCAAACTATCAGTCGCCAAATCATTTGAAATAGCACTGACACTATTGCTTTCACGCACTCCTTTTGACCTAGCTGCACGCTATGACGTTGCAGAGGGTGTGGCGCGGCCGCATGACGTCATGGCGCAGCCCCCGAAACTCAGTTTTTCAAACGGAAATATCTCGAGAACGCTTTGTCGGAGACACGTGGGACCAACACCATTCGACTCAGCGGCCGAAACTCTACCGACCCTGAAATTTAAATTTTTCACCGGACTTCCCCTTTAAGGTGTGTGTAAAATTTTCCAATCTATCAATGGTGTACTGTGGTAGAGCTGTGCACGTAGGTAGAGTGCATGCAGTACTCACGTTTCTTTGCTAGTGCATTGCGATTTTGTGAATCGCACACGAAATGGATACAAAGACAAAGCAGGCCAAGTACATGGCGAGATTTCGCCAGAAGACGCGCAGTTATGAACCATCAAGGCGACAGACAGAAATTGCACCAGGACACGCAAAGACAAAGCAGGCCGCTTACATGGTGACATCTCGGGAGAATGCAAAGCGGTAGGCCGCGTACGTGGCGAGAACGCGGGGGAAAGACCAAGGATAATTTTCCATAACCCGCAACTTGTCAAGTTCCCGATGTGTCCGGGCCATAAGCTCGCATCGGTGGTATGCAATGGCTGAATGTTTCACAAGCTCCGTCTGTTGCCTAAACACGCATTCTTCTGGCTCAGTTCTCCCTGCGTGCGTGTCCAGGTCGCCTTAGTTTCAGTCACCAACCATCACTGAACCATTGCAACAGCGTCAAGAACATTCATGGGAATAAAAATGTTTACCGCGCAAGGCAATGTGTTGAATTAAGTCTGCTGAAGTGCTATTGCACAACAAGTCCGGGTGTGTTTTCCTCTGTGCGCATGCCTGTGTGTGTGTGTGTGTGTGTGTGTGTGTGTGTGTGTGTGTGTGTGTGTGTGTATCTGTGTGTGTGTGTGTGTTTGTGTGTGTGTGTGTGTGCGCGCGTATGCAAATTCGTCTCCATGTGTGTGTGTATGTGCGTTCGTTTGTGTGTTTCCTTGTGTGTGTGTGTTGGGGTGGGGTGGGTGGGGGAGGGGGTGTGGGGTGGTCTCACAGGCTCCGTCACTGACGACAGAGATGTGGGCACATGCTCGGGCAGCCCTTGGCGGATTATGCCGGCATAATATTTGGCATAATCTTGGGATTTCGTCAAAAAATTATGCTCCAGCATTATACGGATTCCAACGTGTAAGGTCGGCATAATCTTTCGGTTTAGACAAAAATTATGCTTAGGACATGGCCGTGTGTGTATGCGTGGTTTCTCAATCCTCTATGTACAGTGTGAATACATAGTGGAACCGAGCATCATTCAGCATAATTCAGCATATTTGTTGGCATAATCAAAAGCATAATTTGACGATTGGCCGAGCATAGTCCGCCAATGGCTATGCTCGGGCCACGGTGCGGCGTACGGTTGCCGCAATGTGCATGTGTGCGCTTATGCACCCCTTTCTACAACAATGCGTACTGTTGTGTTTCTGTTTGTCCGTGTGCCTCTTCATGTGTGTGTGTGTCTGTGCGTACGTACATTGGTTCGCGTTTCTTTCTATGTGTTTGTCAGTGTTTTCCTGTGTGTGTGTGGGTGTGGGTGTGGGTGTGTGGGTGGGTGTGGGTGTGTATGTGGGTGTGTGTGTGGGTGAGGGTGTGTGTGGGTGTGTGTGTGTGGGTGTGTGTGTGTGTGTGTGTGTGTGTGTGTGTGTGTTTGTGTGTGTTCAATGGCGGTGGGGGTGGTCACACACCACCCTGGTGGGAATGCCCAGTTACCATCCTGCATACTTGGGTGGGCGTCTTCATGTGTCCATCCATATGACGTCGGGTGTACGCGTGTGTGCGTGAGTGTATGTGCAGTCGGGCAGCATGAGTTGCTGCTCAGGTTGGCCGTGCCAGTGCCACCCACTGCCCAAGCGCGTTTGCGGACAGCAGGCTGTGTGACCACCGCAGTCCAATGTGCCATTGCGACAGGACCGAGTTGGGGCTGGAGACCATATCGATGCCCACACTAAAACTGACCGGTTACACGGGAACGTACAGTGGTCCATGGTGCGACCGCTTTACAATCGTTTCCAGAGAAACATATAGTGGTTCAACGTGTTGCTTATCCTCACGGCTGAGGCTGGGGTGGGCCAGGGAACGGAAAAAGAACTGAAATAATCCATATATACATGTAATGGTGATGTAACCCTATGATATTGCTGTAATCCTGTGCCCTCCCGACCTCGTGCTGCTGGTGCGTTCGGGTCCCGTCCTCTCCTATTAAGGTGGATCATTTTACATTGGGGGGATAATGGACCAGTTCTAATTTCATTAGTTTTACGACGGGGCTGCACCAGTAAACGTTTTTCAGAACCGCTCACAGAGCGGTTTTTATATGGATCATGTTCTTATAATTATGGAAGCTTCCTCGAAGTGAATGCACCCACCCATGATCACAAACGCACTTGTCCACTCCCATATTAGCTTTCTCATGCACATGTACACTCATTCTCATTTGTACTCATTGGTGTGTTGACTTTTTGATGTATCTTCTTATTAACGTGTGCACTCCAGCTTGTGTGTACTAACATAATGGGGAAGTTTACAGACTTGTGGACTCAGACATGACTATCATCATAGTAAAAATACATGCCCTTGAGAACACTAGGTTTTGAGATAGTGTGCTCAAGGGCATGTGAAGTCATGTGTAAGAGTGAATACGCTCAATCTCAATCGTGTGAGCAGAAAAGCACGTGAGCGTACATACATGCAAACAGACACATGGGTGAACACATAGATGTACACACATGTATTGGAACAGACACACACACACACACACACACACACACACACACACACAGACAAGCTCATAATACAAATACACACACACACACAGGGATACCGGTACTTGAAGAACTCTCATCATAGAGTACTAATCTCACAGAAGGTGAAAGTATTGAATTGCAAAAAATTACACCAGTATTCTAGATGCAAAGACTTGCCAAGAAACCTGCGACCAGTAAAGACATTGCACTATGCACAAGTATGAACTATGTGAGTGGCAAGGTGATGATGCGATGAATAGTATTATCAATGATCATTTTCATCTGTGTTTTCTATTCTCTCATTTCTACTCACTCTATACAAGAAACATTTTAACAAAATTCACTAAACAATCTCCAAACATACAAACAGACATACAATGTATATGTACATGTACATTCAAAGAAATGATCACACATATCAACTAAAACCACATCAGCAAAAACCAATAGTTCAATCATGTAAATTCTCTCAGCGACAGTCCACAATAATCGAAAAAATGAAGAAAGGAAAACATCCAATAAAAGGGTCCAAAGTCTAAAGGTCAAAGGTCAACGCAGTGAATATTCCAATTGACTGAAAAAAGGGAAGGAATGTCCAGTCGAAACACAAACATACAAACACACATACATACAAACACACATACACACATCCACACACACACGCTCACGTATATACACAGACATGCACGTATAAACACGCACACGCAGAAGCACTACCACGAATGCACACACACATACGCACGTTCACTCCACAGAACATACACAGACGGATTGTATGCTAGGAGGAAGCAATAGACCAAACACGAAGCTTTCTTCATCAGGACAAAAATCCGTCTGTGTTTATTCTCTCACCTCCTCATTCCTCACTCTCGCTATCTCCTTCATCGTCGTACTCGTCTTCTTCTTCTTCTTCGCCATTCTCCACTTCGTCGTAGTAGCGAACTCGCACATACTGCACTTTCAGATCATCTCTGGCCATGGCACTTAGAGCCTCACGCAGCATTGGAGACACTAGAGCTATTTCAGGCATCTGCAGCTCCTTCAGAGACGAGCAGCTCTCGACAGCGGTGGCGAACGGCTTTGCTTCGTCGTCAGCATCTCGGAAATCATTCCTCGCCACTTTGAGCACGGAGAGCTTGGGCAGACTGGGCAGTAGGGACGCAAGCACTGGCAGAGCTCCCGACGAGAGGCAGTCGTCCTCCAGCCACAGCTCCTCTAGGCGTCGGCACTGGCTCAGCTCACCACGAACGGTTTCGAGGAAATCTCCAGTTAGCTCATTGCGCTTGAGCGAGAGGATCTCCAAACTCTCGTGTTGCTGTTGAATGATTCTACTGACGATCGTAGCCGAGTTCTGCTTCATCCCAACCTTGCGCAGCCACAGCACTCTCACTCAGCCTCAGTGCTCCTAACAATGCTGCTAGCTGGGTTAGACTTTCCATATCCAGTACGCAGTCAATGAGACCGACGGACTGGAGATCTGGGCAGCTGCTGCAGACTGTGGTGATGACGTCAAGGTTGACTGCTGGATCGGTGCACTTTTGACCTCCAAGGTCCACTGTCAGCAGTCGCGTACAGCGGTGTGTGTTGCTGTGGACGGTGGCCATAGCATTGCTGCTGAACAGGTTCCCGGCTGTGTAGAGTGTTCGCAGTGTTGACGTGTTGGATGCGATACACGCTGCGATATGGGCCGTGTGACGATCTGTTAGGTTGTTCAGTGTCAGGTGGATGTACGTAAGATTGCGTAGTAGAGCCATGCCATCAGCCATGCATGCGTACCCGGTATCACCTATACCACAGTTGTACAGGTTGATGCTGGTGATGAACTGGTGGTGGTGAATCATGACTGCGTTGATGGCCTGGCAATCGGAGGCTGTCAGAGGAACCTGGTCGAAATCTACTCCGTACTGCTTGATGATGGCTTGCATGCTGGGGATGTCTTCGATGCTGCTTTGCTTGGCGTTGACATGCTCCGAGAAGACCCGGAAGGCGTAGAGGACTCGTTGCTTTCGTTCGGCTGCACTGACGCTGTCCTGGGCTGCGGATGGCTGGGCTGCTTCGTCGGATGGAGGAACTGGAGGTAGCTGGCACGTGGGAGTGACGGTGAAGCATCGAATGGCCGATCCTTGTGCCTCGTTGGCCAGGCAGTCGTGCAGAATTTGCGAACTGGCACTCGGGACGCGATCCGTCCAGGTGGTTAGCAATGAACGAACGAAAACCTGGCAGGTGATTTTGGTGACGGCTGGGTCAATCTTGCGGCGGACCACTTCCGAAGCAGACTCCAGGTCGATCCTGCCAGCCAGCAATTCTTCTGCAAGATGCTCTGCTTCGTCCAGCGAGAGAAAGGAGGAAACGTGGTCGGCCCATTTCATGATGTGGTCTTGCGTTGTGAAGAGAAAACACGTGACGTTGTGCCCCTCTGCTCCTGTGGAATGCTGGTCGGTATTCTGTGGCTGAGTAGACGATTTGGACTGCGGATTTCCAATGGCTTCAATCAACACATTGACAGATTCACTGTCCAGCTCAGTGGCCAGTAAGCGCCAAAACATGTTGAGGCTGCCTGTGAATGCTCCAAGGCGTTGCACAAGCCAGGCGACGTCAGCTGCACTCGGACTGTGGCTAGCGATGTAGCGAGATGCTAGAGCTTCCTGAAGTGCTAGGTGGCTGAAACGCCACTGAGCCCTGGACTGTGGTGATGCCGTGTCGCAGGCGATGAGCATGCCAAGTGTGCGAGATGCCGATGACAGTGAAAACATTTTGAAATCGGCATCGGTGAAGACGACTTTCCGTCGGATGAGCATGTTGAAAGCGAACCTGGAGAGATCGTGTAGATTTTCCTGCACGTCATCGGGAACATCGTCCCAATCGGTGTATTGCTCATCATCATGCGCTGGCTTTGATTTCCGCTGGCTCAGTATATGAAGGATCAGCGAGTTGAAGATTGCAGATGGCGTGTTTGGCAGACGATGGTTGTGTCGGTAGAGGCTGCAGGTTGCATGGGCGAAAAACGGCGTGCGCATCATTGTGGCCAGCTGCGGGTTGGTGCGAAGCTCTGCTAGCAACTTGGCTGCATCGTCTGGAGACAGGACATTGTGAATGTAGTGCTCCAAACCCTGCTTCTCAAAACCCAGCAGTTCCAGACGACGATGGAAGACTATCTCGCGGCTTTGCGTCAGCTTCATTGCTTCTGCTGAATGGCGTGATGTGATGATCAGGTTGATTCCCGGCAATTCTTTGCCACGGATGACGTCGATCATGAACTTGCTGCAGTCAGCGAGCTTTATCTCGTCGAGGCCGTCGAGAATGATACAAACAGACTCAGGATGATTGCAAACAAAATCAATGACCTTAGCCTGCTCACCTTCTGTTGTGATGCCGTAATTCTGCAAATCCAGCAGCTCAGCAATGCTTGTGATATTGCGCACTTCTGCCAAGCGCAGCTCCAGTGCACGCAGGACAGCGATGTGTGGCCAGATATGCCCTCTTGCCCATTCATACGGACCCTTCTTGGTGAAGAGCATGGTTTTGCCAGCTCCAGCTGATGAGAAAGCAATGGTGCGGAACGTGTTCCCACGCATGCGTTTTCGCATGGCTTTCTTGACAGTGAGGATTTCGGCAAGTTTCATCTTGCGCAGCTTCCTAGCTTCAGACGCAAATGAATGAGCCAGCTGCTCATTGCCTGCAGTTGTGCCAAGTCTCTCTGCTTCACGCATCCTAGTGTTTAACTTCTGCTTCGACACTACATGGAGATCAGCATAAAGCTCATCCATTTGCAAGATTCGTTCTTTCTCTACATTGGTCTCCTCAATGCAGAACTGCACATTGCTGTAAGCAGCACACAGACGGTCATGGTATTTCTTCACTGGAGCAGGAAGTGAGCTTGCTAGGGCCCCCATGCTGCAGATGCACAGTTGGAAAATCAATAGCTACACTAGAACAGGCAACAGTTACTAGTAGAGCAAGCTAGAGAGATCAGCTACAGGTAGCTGTAACCACACTCTTTCAATACTCACTTACTGTTCAGAGATTTTCTCTTGCACATGTGTGTGTTGTGTATATGCTATGTACACATGTAACTGCACAAGTCATTCATACTTACCCCTACACTTCACTTTACAGATCACTGTACACACACTGGCAAGAACAACTACAGTAGCTACTATTCTACTGTATGAGTGTGTGGGAGACAGGGGGTAGTTTGTTTTTCCCTTGCTACCACTACTCTTCACTAGCACTGTAACTGTACTAATGACTATGTACTACATGTATCTGCCCAGCTCTGTCACTGAACAGTAATCACACAGCCACTTCTCTACCAGTAAACACACAGCCACTTCTCTACCAGTAAACACACAGCCACTTCTCTACCAGTAATCACACAGCCACTTCTCTACCAGTAAACACACAGCCACTTCTCTACCAGTAATCACACAGCCACTTCTCTACCAGTAAACACACAGCCACTTCTCTACCAGTAATCACACAGCCACTTCTCTACCAGTAATCACACAGCCACTTCTCTACCAGTATTCACACTGACTTAGTAGACTGTACTGTAGTAGACTGTCTACAGTGCCACATCTCTACCAGTACGAGTTACATTGTAGTTCACAAGTACTTTCTAAGTGCTTCTCCTGCGCAACCACTTAAGGAACTTAGTTAGGACTAGACAGCCCTGCTATGCGTGCAAGACCGGTACGGCATATATGCGCATGACCTATAGGCTATACCATCCATTCATGCTGTACTCTGCATTACATTGATTCCTGTACTAGACTGTAGTCCTACTTCATGCGCCATTCCGCATCCCTGGCCCTCTTAAGTTCATCACCAAGTACAGTCTGTATCGGCTATAGCGTACCCTTTTGATTCCCGTAATTTTATCACTATAACGACCAGTGCGTGGGTCTTTACCGTGACGACGGACTAGCGATAATGAAGGACGCCACGGGTCATGATGCCGACCGCACGCGCAAACAGCTCATCCAGATATTCCAAGCACACGGCTAAAAAATAACAATCGAAACCAACAAAAAGGTCGTCGACTACTTGGATGTGACCCTGAATCTCGCCACCAGAACATTCCAACCATACAGGAAACCGAATAGTACACCCCTGTACGTGTACATCGATGTGCGGTCCTGTCACCCACCGCAGGTGCTGAGACAAATACCCATTGGCATCAACAAGAGGCTGCAACGTATCTCTTGCAATGAGGAAGTGTTCAACGATGCTAAAACGTTATACGAGGACGCACTGGCCTCAAGTGGCCACCCGAAAACCATGAAATACAAGGATGAACCGAGCAAAAAGAAGAAAAAAGCGAAGAAAGGGCGCAGCCGCGACGTCATCTGGTTTAACCCGCCGTACAGTACCACGGTCAAAACCAACGTTGGCGCAAAGTTTCTATACCTCGTCAAGAAACACTTCCCTGAAGGGTCGGCGATACACAAGGTGTTTAACAAGAACACAACAAAAGTAAGCTACAGCTGTATGAAGAACGTAGCGTCGATTATCAAAGGGCACAATGCTGCAAAACTTCACTCGCGACCGCCAGTTGTGCCATGAAATTGTCGGGTCAAGGCGTCGTGCCCCCTCAACGGTGACAGCCAGTCTTCCGACGTCGTGTACGAGGCGCATGTAGCATCCAACGAAGTTAAGACCTACGTCGGCATGACAGCTACCACATTCAAGCAGCGCTACAACAAACACACTTCGGACTTCCGCCATGAAAAGTACGCCGCATCGACTAAGTTGTCCAAGCACATCTGGGATCTGAAGTGAAATACGAGAACCGCGGATTCGACATCAGATGGGAGATCAAGGATAGAGCACCTTCATACAGTAACATCAGCAAGAAGTGTGGCCTATGCCTCACCGAAAAGTTCCACATCCTGAAAGCTTCAAAAGCTACCTCCCTAGACAAGAGAAGTGAGCTGGTATCTAAATGCCCTCACCAGCGCAAGTTTCTGCTGGCCACCCCTATAACATAGACAGCTATGACCGCTGCGGGTTTTTTGACGCGTGATTGCAGGAGTTTGTGTACGCTTAGATTTGTCATACGAACGCAGATACCTGTGTATGCGTGTGTGCGTGTGGACATGTGTGTGTGTGTTTGTGTGTGTGCATTATAACTATACGTGTGTGTATATGCGTGTGTACGTGTGTTTGTGCGTGTGCGAGTTAGGTTATTGTGGGTGGGTGGGTGTATGTGTGTGCGTGCGCCCATGTGCAAGTTAGGGTGTTGTGGGTGGGTGTATGTGTGTGTGTGTTAGTGTGTGCGTGTATGTGTGTATGTGTGTGTTAGTGTGTGCGTGTATGTGTGTATGTGTATATGTGTGTGGGTGTTACTATGTGTGTGCGTGTTAGTATGTGTGTGGGTGTGGTGTGTGAGCGAGATTAAGCGCGTGCTTGTTAGTGCTAGACCTGCGCCTACTGCATCTGCCTCTGAAATAGCCTGTCCCTGTATACATTCACGCAATTACTCATCTCGCTATCGTATTATCACACCTCTCTCCACTTAGATATACCAGCGCTGCCTCCTATTCCATTATCGTTGTCTGATGATTGGTTCAGCCATGAAACTCTGAGTCGCAACGGAATTAATTTGCCAAGGACTTAGGTGGAGGTCACACTACACTTTTCTAAACTGCAGCGCTCTACAGCACTCTACAGCACTGTGTACTGTATACTGTGTACTGTGTAGTGTAGGTTCTCCGAAACCAGCTCTGAGTCTGAGGGCAGCACCAGCAGTCGCAGCCACAGCAGCAGAAACAGCACCTCTGCCAGTGTTCTGACTAAACAGCAACACCAACAACAGCAGCCGGGTTCAACCTCCTCCTCCTCGCCGCCGCCGCCACCACCACCGCCGCCACCACCACCGGCAGACATCATCTCCACTCGAGTACGCGGTGGCCAAAAACGGAGAAACTCCCACCTCTCCCCACCAGAGGCTGGAGACCTGAAGAGATCAAACGGATCTGCGCCACAACATGACCAGCATGGTGCGCAGCCACCCCAGCAGGATGCCCAGTCCTCTCATGCCCAATGATGGATTCCAGACCTCTGCGACTGCTAGTGACTAATGCATTCAGCCTGAGCAACAAGATAGGTGCCCTGCAGCATGCAATCCTGCAGTATAATGTAGACGTGGCAATAGTAACAGAAACGAAGCTCTGCTCAGATAATTCCTCCCATGAGTTGACCATCCCAGGATACTCACCCCCTATAAGGAAGGATCGAGATGCCCATGGTGGCGGTGTGGCAGTGTGGGCTAGGAGTGAACTATCCATTACCCACCACGACGATATAGATTGCCGTGACCATGAGCTCTTGTGGATTTCCCTCGCAATGCACTCCGGAACTAAGACTGTTTTGGGTGCGCTCTACCGGCCTGGCTCTTGTGCAGAGACAGACACCAGCCTGATGGACTACCTAGACAACACTTTGGATGACGTCCGCCGTCTTGGCAGCAATGTGATAATTGCAGGGAACTTCAACGTGCATAATTCAGCCTGGCTACAGAGTAGCAAGACTACCCGAGCCGGTGAATGCCTGTAGGAAGTCTGCGCAGCACATCGCCTTGTCCAACATGTCACCCAGCCAACCCGCGGCAACAATTCTCTCGATCTTATCATTTCCGATTTCCCACACCCCGTATGCACCACAGCCTATGCACCACAGCCTATGCACCACTTGGACGATCTGATCATGCCGTTATCATTGCTGAGTTTCTCCAACAGCATCCACGACGCGAAGATCCTGCTGTTCGACAGGTTTGGAAATACGCCCTTGCTGACTGGCACCGCCTGAGAGCCTACCTCCGCAACATAGACTGGCCCGCCAAGATCCATGGGTGTGCGGAGCAGTCCTGTCAGCGCGTAACTGATGTCATAATGGCTAATGCATGGAATGAAACAGTTCATACCATCCAAAGAGCTTGTGATACACCAATCCAACCCTGTATGGTGGACACCGGACTGTTCTAACGCCAATCATGCCAAGGAGCGGGCATGGAAGCTGTGGCGACACGATCCCCGCAACGATAACCACAAGGTCCAGTACATCACAACTGTTAACCACGAAGTGGAAGCGTGTCATGCAGCGCAATTAGAACATCAACGTAGAATTCGCAACTAGCTTACTGCAGGTTCCCTCCGGGACAAAGACTGGTGGTCAACCATCAAGAGCGCAGCAGGCAAGGGACGTTGCTCTGACATTCCCCTGCTGACCAACCCTGCAGGACAAGAGTTCCACTCTTCTCGTGAGAAAGCCGAGTGCTTTGCAGCGCATTTTGCGAACAAGTGCAGCCTTGGCAATAACGACCTCTGTGCTGCTGATCTGCCTGACCTGCAACGGCCTGCCTATGCCACGCTAAAGCACATTCACTTCCGCGCAGCAACGGTCAAACGACACTTGCCGAACTTGGCTGTATCAAAAGCAACTGGACCGGATGGCATCTCTGCTCGTGTGCTCAAGACGTGCTCATCTGAACTTGCAGACCCACTAGCAAAGCTCTTCGCCCTCTGTTTCTTAGCCGGTGTGCAACCTGGGGCATGGAAACTTGCCCATGTAGTCCCGGTTCACAAGCGGTCCTCCAGATCTTTGGCATCTAACTACCGACCAATATCACTGCTAACGATCATGTCGAAAGTCATGGAGGGCATTGTAAACACGCAACTGGTCAACTACCTAGAGAAGCATGAGGTGTTGCCAAACAGCCAGTTTGGATTTCGACGTGGTAGAGGAACCGCAGATATCTTAACGGCTCTCCAACATGAATGGGTTCACACCATTAGTACAGGCGGTTGTGTCCAGGTCCTCGCCGTGGATGTTGCCGGTGCGTTTGATCGGGTATCGCACACAGGAGTGCTGTACAAAGCAAAGCAGGCCGGCGTCGACGGACGCCTGCTTGTATGGCTACAGGACTACCTCACCAACCGAAAGATCCGCGTTGTGGTTGGAGGCCAGACGTCAGATGCTCAACCCATCCGGGCTGGTGTCCACCAAGGCAGCATCCTAGGACCCAGCCTCTTTCTTTTATAAACCTGTGACATTGAACAATGTTTAACTCCAGGAACGCAGTTGAGCAGCTTTGCAGACGACACCACACTCTACAGCTTAGTACAGCCAACTGACGATCTCCAACAGTCCACCGCCTCCCTCCAAGGGTCCCTCAACAGTCTTGAGGAGTGGGGCCGCAAGTGGCGTATCTGCTTTGAGCAAGCCAAGAGACAGCGCATGACTCTACATCGCAAGCATGTTCCCCTGCACTCCACCAGTCACCTTTGGTCGAGTGGCAGTCTACAAGGGGTTCATGCGACCCCTACTTGAATATGCCTCACTGGCCTGGTCGAGCGCAGCCGCAACTAACATGGCCCAGCTGGACAAGGTTCAGCAACGTGCCCTGCATTTCCTGGGACCTGGAACCATCCTCCAAAGTCTTCAGCTTCGCCGGATGGTGGCAGTCCTGTCATACTTGTACAAGCTGCACTACATTCCAAGGCCTCCCCAGGTAAAGGCCATGCTGCCACCCACCAAGCCCCCTGCCGTAGCTAGCATGTGCACACGGCAAAAACGTCAGATGCACCATGGCTTCCAGCTGAAATGGACACCCCCTCGCACTGCCCCTGACTACCTCCTGCGATCCTTCCCCTTTTTCGTCATCACACCCTGGAACAACCTGCCTGCGGACCTCCTGCTTCACGAACCTCATTCAAGACGCCTCCAAACCTTCAAGGTCAACGTATGTAAGCATCTAATCCGAAAGAGATGGCTGTGGTCCACACAGTACCTGTGACGATGATATTGAGACCCATTTAGTATTTACCTTTCTACTAGTACTTGCTTGTTATGATTATTGTTTTCTTTTTTCCTTTTTTTCCCTTCTGGTTTAGTTACTACAAGTACATGAATTTATATTATTCGGTGCAATAGTAGCACCCCTTTCTCGCACCAAATTATTAATTTTGCTACTTGACCATGCAACCCCCCTCTCCCCCCCCCCCTTTTTCGATGCCAGGTTGCAACGCTAACGCCGAGATCCCTGGTCGGTCGAGTTGCTCCCTGTGCATCGGCACGTCGTCCCTACATCCCCTGTGTTTTGTTTTGTGTTTGTCTCCACATGTAATTTTGTAGCCGGCTGTGTTCCCAATAATAAAAAATAAATATAAATTGTGCATGTGCGTGCCCATGTGTTTGTCCTGTCCTCAGAGCTCATGTCTTGGGCCATTGACAGTATCTGGCGTCACAATGGCGTCTCTCTTGTCATTTTCAGAATGCACCTGTCATGACTGACCAGCAGCAGACATTAGACAGCCAACTCAAACTCACACTACACCTTACACAGTGGTTTGTGGATAAGCAGTGGCAGCAGCAGTAGCTACTGTTGTAAATTACTGCCGCGCAGTTTCTAGGGAATATTGTATTTTTTTACTATCTCGTGGTATGGTGATTGTGTTCAGTTGTTCAGTTGGATCTTGAATTTTTACACTGTTTATAGCAACTGAGCAACATCAGTAGACATGCAGGGGTGTGAGCCCGCCTCTCAGCATCGGGAGTACAGCTGACTCCAGGACTGTCAGGTGCTGTCAGCCGCGGCCAAGGCGCAAGCCCTGGTCTTCTAGCACTCATTCCAGTAGCCTGGTCGGCTGTCCAGCCGCCAGGCTGCCAGGATACTCAGCTATGGAACACCCTACACTAGGCTACAGACATGGAGTACTGTCGGCCGTCGAAGAATGAATAGACTAGATTTTTACCAGCTGCAGAATACCCTTATGCACACGGTGACTCAACTGTATAGACAGTTCTGTATGAACATAATAAGAAGGGTCTAATGGAGTCACGGACCCTGAACGTGCAGTTCTTCAACACCAGACAGACCTGTAGCCAGTATGATCCGTGTCATTGCTCAGCTCTACCTGTTCAAAACACGCATGATACATTATATACAGTACACAGGTATCACGTGACTATACTCTAGTATCACACTGCATGTGTTTGGCATATCAGACCAGATTACTATGTTCAATAACAGTATATCTGGTGACACGGTGGCTGTCTGCATTACGTTTCTCACCTCATTCTTTGTAACTTGCTTCATCTTTGCCTGCAGTTGTATATCACCTAATAGTGTTTTACTAAACAATACAAAGTTCATCTACGACTTCTAATTTACCACTCCTCTATATACACAGAGGCAATATGCTTTGGTTCTGCAAGAGCCTACTGCATCTGCCTCTGAAATAGCCCGTCCCTGTATACATTCACGCGATTACTCCTCTCGCTATCGTATTATCACACCTCTCTCCACTTAGATATACCAGCGCTGCCTCCTATTCCATTATCGTTGTCTGATGATTGGTTCAACCATGAAACTCGGAGTCACAACGGAATAAATTTGCCAAGGTTTTCATTGTGTGCCTTTGTGCACTCCTCTATATAATCATTTTCTTCTAACCTCGAATTACTTAGACTAAGGAAGACAGGATTCTACGTCCACTTCACCAGGACCATCGTTACACTCTGTGGTCGACCACGTTCACTCCCCACAACAGCAACAAGAGGTTTCTTGGAAAGACAAGGACTAAAAAACAGATCACTGTTGCGTTATTGCTAGTTTTCTGTAAGGTCAGAACGTGCGACATTTGCCACAACACTAATGTAGATAATTCTACACAAGCTACTGTCCCTGAGCTGGTACTAATCTACACAGTTACCACTATTCTTGTACATAGACATACGTACATGTATACATATGTACATGTATACATATGTACATTTCAGTGTGCAAGTAAAACACTCTACTACTGTACATGTGGTGCGATAGTGCAAAGCTAGCAGCAGCTGTATTCCTACTTATCAACACAGTGTAGTACAGGGGATGCAGCTACTACAGTAGCTATTTTCCTGCCATGTACGGTTTCTAACACTTTATAGACTAGTGAGATGTTTCATGATTTCACTCGATATTGCTATAAATTGTTGTCTAGACTTCATTGTGTGAGGTTTGTACCATGACGTAGGGGTGTGCGGATAAATGCTCGAAAAGGTGGCACATTCTGCTCGAAAAGCAGTGAAATTGGCAGAATCATACAAACCTTATGGCGGGCAATTCCTCGAATTCTGCTCCATTTCTTTATCCACATACCAAACATGCATGAAACTTACCAGAAAAAGTACTGAATTCTGCCAATTTTTCTGCCGCTCTAATAATTATTTAAAAAACCTTGAAGAGGTATAGTAACTGTTGATGTTTGGTCATGATGGAAGGAGAGGTGGAGCTACGGGAGAGATGTCCTGATTATTCGCAGGGTGAGGGTGACATCGGTTGGACGAGTATGGCGATCACAAAGACAGTTGCACATGATATTTTTCAAAGGTAACTCAAACTAATTTGACAATAAAAAATCTTTTGAAAAGAAGTCAACCAATGAATACTGAGAAGAAGCAATGTTTTCTCTTTTCCATGTTCATCTCTAGCATGCAGGGACACCTTGGTATGGGGATACTCCTGTAACATTTTGTTGTACTTATGGCCAATTGCAAGTACGATAAAAGCACAATTTTCTGACCTTTGAGGCTCCATAAGTACAACAAAGTGAATATGTATCCGCACGTGCGAAAGCATGATATTATGAGGATTTTGCGAGCATAATGCGAGAATCCATGAAAGCATAATTCCATGATTTCGCGAGCATAATCCGCCGGAGCCTCGGACTCAGGCAGGGCAGGAGCGAACATGCTCCTTGAGCCACGCAGGCACATGGCACCACAACGCACCAGGGTAAACTCAAGGCGACAGCGCAGCAAGGAGATAACCTGCGCGTATGACTCCTTGCTCTTCTCACCCAGGAGCCAGTACTACACAGTGTAGTAGACATACAGTTCATGTCAGGTGTTCGGATAGGGGAAATCCCCTCTACTACCTGTACAAGTCGAGAACAGTTGACCATGTTGACGGACGGCGGTAAAGTCATTACTAGACAATGTGCATTGGATCATTGGATGGTTTGTCAACGCACGTTGTTCACTGCACGCCACTCTAACTCACTCTGACAGAATTCCTGACACGTACATTACAGCAGTGTATGGTGCAGCACATCAGGGCCTGCTCTAGACATTCAACACAGCCCGGTCAGAGTGTACCTGGCGCCTGCAGGCCAGCCGGGTCAAGCCGGGTCAGATCATCCGGCAGAAAAACAACAAAAAGCCTGCTCAAAATGCAGGAAAATAGAAAGGCGAATTTATTACCGGAAATCGGAAATTTTAGAGAACATCGCGACCAAATCCACCGCCGCTCGTCTTCCTTTGCGTCTTGCACAAAGCGCACGACATGTATAGACTGGCATGATCGTAATCCATGGGATCCAGCCAGGGTCGACCTTTCTTCCAAGAGTCTTGGAAAGCGTGAGTTCTTTTTCTCTTAGCTGCGGGCTCCATCGTCCAAATCACCAGTCGGCTGAAAACTTGCAACTGTGTCAAAAGCTATAGCCAAAGTTACGCTTTTGACTACTGTAAAAGCAGAAATTTTCGGTGGTGTTTTATTTTCGGTAACTTCGGTGCCGACAATTTTTACCGAAAATAAAACGCACCAAAATTTTCGGTACAACCGATACTGTATACATGTAGTACTAGTACACCTACCTGGAGAACGGGTTTTACCGAAAATTTCCCGCTACCGAACCGCCGATTTTGGCGAATACCGAAAATATTACACCACCGAAAATTTCTGCTTTTACAGTACCTGCCCCATCGACTTTGAATGTCCTGACTTCCTGCTCGCCGCTGGCCAGATCGCGCTCGAACCAGTTGACCCCAGTTGACCCCAGTTGACCCTAGCCGAGTTTCTGTCGCTTGTAGACCTGGTAGACTGTAGACTATGTAGTGTGTACGGTTGCGCTAGATTTGCAACAGATGGGGTCCGCGAGTCGTAAAATACCGGTATTTTAGGAATCCATTGTCAGTTTGAGACATTTTTCAGCCGGGTCAGACTGGACCCGGTGTTATCTGTTCAGCCAGGTCGTGCAGTTCCCCAGCCGGGCGCGTGACCCGGCTGACCCGGCTCTCCAGCAGGCCCTGGCACATAATTTATGATATCTGGGTGTCATTCTGGACGAAAAGTGCTTCGCTCTGGACAGAGGGCACAAAATCTGTCTCTGACAGTGAGGATTCCGGCAAGTTTCATCTTGCGCAGCTTCCTAGCTTCAGACGCAAATGAATGAGCCAGCTGCTCATTGCCCGCAGTTGTGCCAAGTCTCTCTGCTTCACGCATCCTAGCGTTTAACTTCTGCTTCGACACTACATGGAGATCAGCATAAAGATCGTCCATTTACAAGATTCGTTCTTTCTCTACATTGGTCTCCTCAATGCAGAACTGCACATTGCTGTAAGCAGCACACAGACGGTCATGGTATTTCTTCACTGGAGCAGGAAGCGAGCTTGCTCCTGCCTCCATGCTGCAGATGCACAGTGGGAAAAGCAATAGCTACACTAGAACAGGAAACAGACGGCAATGTCTGAAGAAAGGAATTGATGACCACCACTAGAACTGGAACCATGTCGGAGTAGAGGAACGATGCTCTCGCCTTGGACATCCGACAATGAGGTTGTTGTTGTTGTTGTTGTGTTTATTTTAATTCGCAAACCAAACGGGCAGATCTGCCCAATGAAAAGGTGGCGAATGCAGATAGAAAGCAGTAATAAATGAAATTGGGGACCGATGTAATTAGGATAGAGGTGGAGAAAAACTAAGCCAGCTGATCATCAAACAGGACGTCTGGTACTCTAGGTACTAAGGCCAGTAAGTGTGTGCGGGATCATGCTGGCGCGGAACTGGCGGAGCGTGGAGATGGCACGTATATCGCTGGGTAATGTGTTCCACAGCTGGGCGCCCCGGAACGCGAGGCAACCCTTGCCGAACCTGGTGGAAACTGGCGGTTGGCGCAGACCCATGGTGGAGTGCAACCTAGTTGGGCCAGCTGCCGAAGGAACTAGGAGGGCTTGCAGTTCAGAACTTGCGTGCTCATTCCGAGACCTCCAGACTAGAACGATGAACTTCTGCCTGAATATCTCGGATACTCTATAGGTGTCCAATTGCAGCAGGAGGGTACGCGCGGAGGTGTGATGCGAGAGTCCGAAAACCGCCCTTGCCGCCCGATTCTGCATGACTTGTAGCCGATCCAATTGGCTGGCAGTAAGAAGCGGGGAAAACGCATTGGATCCGTACATCAGGTCAGACATGATGATCGCTTTAAAGTAGAGAACTCGGCTCTGATGAGTCAAGCAGCGACGCAACCTCCATAGTGCTCCGATCCTCTGGGCCAGTCGAGCGGTGCAGCGATCAACATGGGGCGTCCATGACAGATCCGAGTCGAGGAGCACTCCAAGATACCTGGCCGCAGTAACGACAGGAATCGGCGTTTCATGGCAGTTTACATTGATCGTAGGTCGACTTATTACCTTTCCCACCGGTTTCCTACAATGTAGAGACCGATAATTGATAGACTGCACAAGTAACCATGGTAACAGGATAGTGTAGCTTTCTCCATGTCGCTCACTCACTCACAGTGACACGCACTACTGCTCATGCTGAGCTACTAGTCCTACATGATGCACATGTACATGTTTATTATCCGGCTTTCCTGGTTGGTGACGAGCGTAGACGCGGATCCGCGGTAGGAATCCGCGGACAGCACTATGACTAGCTGACGGAGCTAGCTGGAGGTGAGTGAGGAGGCATGGTTTGAGCAAGAAACGATAACGCTGAAAGCCGGAACAGGGCCTAGGCGCCTGGTCATATCGCATACCGGCTGCATGCAGTAGACCTGCTACCAACACAATCCGGCATACACGTACACGTACATTCTACCGCCGTACACAGGTATACGTGTACGTGCATGTCCATCACCCATCTCCCAATATACGTACATGGTCGCAGAGTAGGTCTACATACATACGTAGCACCTGCTGGATGGCACGACATGAGACATGAGCATATGGGGTGGACTTGTGCCTGCACCCGTAGATCCAGGTGCTCGAAGTCCGTACATGGTATCCTAAGTTCGTACGCCCATAATTTCATGTTCTGTTATTGTATTCGACTCAAATATTTTATGGAGGGGACAGTGTGGTATGTTCTCCTCGCGTACCAATTTTCAGGGATCTACGATCAGCAGAAGTCCCATACCACGGGAGTGGGTTTTCGAGTGTCCATACGAAATACAAATTGGGTTACATTTCATGCAAAAATCAACTTTGCCAAGACCGATTTCGAACGGACACAGCGTCAAACAGACCTTCACTCAACCATCAAGAGCCAGCTTAGAGCTGACAATGGCCAGAGGAGAAGAATTTACAGAGAACCACCAATCCTTGCAGAAAGGTTGACACTCCTGGCATCTCCACCACTGTTTTCCCGCGGTTTTCACAGCGCAGCTGCTTCTTCTCTGAGCCGACTAAAAACAGCTTGCATTTCGGCAACAAACTACGCTTTTGCAAGAAATACCGGTGGAGGCACATGCCAAACATATCCCTTCGGTGCTTTCGTCGTAACCGAGGGATTGCAAGTTAGCAATTAGCAGAAATATGTGTGTATTTCGAGTCACCTCTGATCAGTACGGACTTAGAGTACCCTCTGCGACACCAAATTTTGATATGAAAAATGAGCGAACTCCAGAGAAACAGATCGGATCGAAAGATGGCCTGGTTCAATCGAGCCTGGCCTCAAAACAAACTTGGACAAGATACCTTCCATCCACGAGCAGGATTCTGGCAAGTGATCATTGCTAGTGTGAGTTTCAGCTCGGCAAACACACACTGTAAACGTGTACGGACTTCGAGCACCTGGGTCTACTAGTAGATCTACATACAGTGTAGTACAAGCGGTGAGGATCTACGACGGAACGTCATTTCCGCCCGACCAGGTTCGGCTTGGCACTCCGCTCCGGCATACCGCAAATCGGTTGTCTTTTTCTTTGAGGAGCTTCAAGCTCGGCGTGCCAATTGCCGGCAGCAAGCTAGCTGGAAGACGCGTCGACGTTCTGGACTGAGTCACAAGTGTTTTATCCAGTCGTGTGCAGGATGTCGGGTTGAGTTTGAGTAACTGCTTCTCAGTTGTCATAGCGGAACGTGTCGGTTTTCCGTGCATGGACTTGGCGTTAGAGCGGGCTGAAAACTGCACTAATCTTGGAAGCTTGGTATCGGAAATTCCTACATTCCCCTCGTTTGTCGACGACTGTTGGTGAAACTCGGCATACACAAGTGAGTACTGTGCGTGTGTGTGTGTGTGTGTGTGTGTGTGTGTGTGTATGTGTGTGTGCGTGCGTGCGCGCGCCCGTGTGTGTGTGTGTGCGTGTGTGTGTGTGTGTGCGTGTGTGTGCGTGCGTGCGCGCGCCCGTGTGTGTGTGTATGTGTGTGCGTGCGTGTGCATGCATGTGTGCGCTGAGACCAGAGAAAAACAGGACTAACTTGCAGAACATGTGGTGTTCCAAATATCTATAATATAATAGTTCTAAAATTTTGAAGGACGCTTCACGCAGCTTCATTATACTTGAATGGTTTGCAGGCAAGCTGCCTACACTCAAGAGAGCACTGCATTTCACCCAAATCCATTACAGGTATCGTTTCAACGTTTCGGTCTTCATGACCATCATCAGGAATGAAGTGGAAATGGAAAAAACAGCAGTATAAAAGAAGGAAGCAAAGCGCAGTACCTAGTGAGAGAAGTGCAAAGCACGTTGTGATAATAGTTCTACTCTCCATAATAACGTAATCTGTAGGACCACGCAAAAATTATGTTGTATCAAGAGTTATGGTATGTAGAAAACCGTGTGTAAAATGCAAGATGTACGTGAAAGTGAAGTCGGGTTCAACCATGCAAACATATACTCACTGTAGCACCATGGACATGAGATGCAATCAATGCTGCACAATACATGTATTATGCATAGAACAGAACAACAAGGACAATCAAAGCTTGTTTGCTGCGACTTGAAGTTTCATGCTCTCGCAATCATCAGGCAACATGAAGATTGGGTGCCGACCATGCCAGTATATATGCAAGGGAATGGTGGTATGAAAAGCTGTGAGAATGTGGGGGCTAGCAGTGTTATTTTAGGTAGGAGGCTGTGTGCAGAGTATGTGGTTGTTGAAGGCAGGGGCTAGCAGTGCAATGTTAGCGCAGAATGTGTGGCTGGTGGGGGCAGGAGGTGGTGAGCAATGTGTGTGGATGTTGTAGGCAGGAGGCTATAGTCTAGAGCTAGGAGTGTGATATTAGCGTAGTGTACATGTATATGGCTGGTGTGGGCAGGGTGTTATGAGCAAGGTGTGTGAACGTGAATGGTGTGGACAGGGTGTTATGAGCAAGGTGTGTGAACGTGAATGGTGTGGGCAGGGTGTTATGAGCAAGGTGTGTGAACGTGAATGGCGCGGGCAGGGTGTTATGAGCAAGGTGTGTGAACGTGAATGGTGTGGGCAGGGTGTTATGAGCAAGGTGTGTGAACGTGAATGGTGTGGGCAGGGTGTTATGAGCAAGGTGTGTGAACGTGAATGGTGTGGGCAGGGTGTTATGAGCAAGGTGTGTGAACGTGAATGGTGTGGGCAGGGTGTTTTGAGCAAGGTGTGTGAACGTGAATGGTGTGGGCAGGGTGTTATGAGCAAGGTGTGTGTGAGCGTGAATGGTGTGGGCAGGAGGCTGTGGAGACATATTATTTAGGTGACACCGTGGTATTTTTGGTATTTTAGGAGATACTTGTTCTCGTGTCGGC